CAGTCCCTGCAGCTGCGTGAACTGGTAAAAGCCTCCAGCTTGACGTCTGATCCACGAACTTTGGACTTGCCAGCTTCTATAAGTGTGTGAGTCATTTTCCTAGAGAACCCAGTCTAACACATGCATGTATATATATATATATTCCATATATGTGCATGTTTAGAACAATATCTAAAAAGTGGCAGTCATACAAGTACAGTGGTTCTGTCTGTAGGGGTAAGAAGACAATCAGATTTGAGGGATTAAAGGGGATTTTACCCTTACTTGAGAGACTCATAAGATCACTGGTTCTGGGAGCCAGACTGCCTGGATTTAATTTCTGGCTCTGCAGCTTCTAGCTGTGTGACTTTGGACAAAATACTAACCTCTCTGAATCTCCAGATCTTTGCCTCTAAAAGAAAGATGATACCAATACAACCTATGTCATATTGCTCCCATACTGTGACTTTTAAATAAGACAAAGTACGTTAAGTCCCTTAGCAGAATTTCAGGTGTATCTAGTGGCGCTGAAGCCAGCCCGAACCAGTTCAGGAAAGTCAGCTGTGTAGAACTCGTCCCAACTCCGCCTTCAGTGAAATCAGCGTGCTGCCTGAGACTCAGGGTGGGAAGATTTACACCAAAAAAATCAGCAAATGCTATGCATAGGAAGGTTTTCTTCTTCTCTCTCCTTTTTTAAAAGAACTAGTTGTTAAGCATCATTTCACGGGGCACTCATAAGCACCCCACACGTTAGCTGTTTGCATCTGTGAAGCTCTGGGTTCTGTAAGGAGAAGGGCTCAGGTACCCCTGTGAATGAGTCGGCGCCGAAACAGAAGAGGGTAGTTTTGCCAGGAAGGAGCTGAGTCGGGGCACAGGGCCTGGTGCGGTGCCTCAGGGATGAGCACAAACACCTTCGTGGGGTGGGAGGCCAGTGGCTGGAGTGTGGCTCAGTCATCTGCAGTCGGTGATTTACAGCCTAGAACTACCTCCGAGCTGCGGAGGGTGGGGATGGAGAGAGCCAGTGTAGCATTTCTCTTTTCCATCCTTTTGAAAACTCAACCACGTAGATGTGCCTTTGGACGTCAGGTTCAGTAAAAGAGCTGGGCCGGAAGTCCTGGGCCCCAGCCTCCTCCTGGGTGACTGCAGGCAGATAGCTTCCCCTGCCTGGGCCTCTGTCTCCCAGGTTGTCAAACTGCTGCAGCGCCCTCTAACGTCCGACTTGTAAAACTACAATCCCGCATGATGGCAGGAAGTCCCGTCAGCTGTGCCCGGGGTTGGTCTTGGCATTCAAATAAACATTTTGGCAACAGCAAAGACTAAGAAAGAAAGGTTGTTTGTTTTTCTTGGAGCTTCTCAGGAAAATTCTAAAGGGGATGGGTAACGAGCCACAAGTTGGTTAAAATCCTCTTTCTGCTTGCCTGTATGCTTGTCTGTATACTGTGTGAGTAGCTCACACCCTTGGAGCAGCCCCGCAGACAGCCCCTCTCCTTATTGCTCAGCTGCCTGCCCCACCCCTCACAGCCTCCATCTCTAGGACAAGTGTGATGCGTTGGGGCTCAATATCCAATCCACCTTCAGCAGGGTTTTCAATTTGGTAGATCCTTCCAAAATTGTTAACAGAATAGAATCAC